AAATATATTATATAAATTATATATAGAAAATACGAGAATTATACAAGTTTTCTATGATAGTTTATGGCTGTATACTTGGTATGCAACCAACCACACGCGCATCTTACTGGTGAAACAGGCAAAGTGAGAAAAGTGGTGGAGGAAGGAAGAAGATTATTATTTAGACAATATGTCCTTTTTAATGCAATTAAACTAACATTAATTTATAGGTTTAACTTAACTTTATTCTTAAGTATTCAAATGGTTTTATTAAATACATTGCAAGTAAATATATTATATAAATTATATATAGAAAATACGAGAATTATATAAGTTTTCTATGATAGTTTATGGCTGTATACTTGGTATGCAACCAAACACACGCGCATCTTACGATAATAATTTTTATTTGTTATTTACACATGGCGGAAACTGGCGAAACAGGCAAAGTGAGAAAAGTAGTGGAGGAAGGAAGAAGATGATTATTATTTAGACAATATGTCCTTTTTAACGCGATTATTCGAATGTTCGGTAGGTATTAATAGTTATTAATATGTTGCATGCTTATTTATAATTGTTTAATATTTATCTTAGTTCCTCGGTGATGGTAGTTTCGCAGTCGACATTCCATTCGTTAGTCACTTCTGTTTCCAGAGACGCTCGTCCCGGAGGATTGTTCTCCTTGTAATCTGTTGTGACTTTCCCAGACCTTCTGACCGAAAGAGTATCAAGCGTCACGGCTGGGAGAAAAGGATGAGCACGCCCGAAGGACGAAGGGTTTTAATAAGGAGAATTCTGAAAGGATAACATGTCCGAAGGTTATTCTAATTTTTATTAAAGTTAAATGTAAAATCTAAAATTATTCAATCAATACAAAGTTCAACCATTGGTTATGATGCGCCAAATCGCTAAACACAATGTAATTGTACGGATCGCAGTACATGCCCTGAAGCGTCATACCATGAGAGACCAACCCCCTCAGCACCCAAACCACTCCATTCGATGTCGTTTTCGAAAAGAACATTCCACCGCCCAAATCGCCGTTGCAAACAGAAGTACCTGGACATTAAAATTTTAAATATTAGAATCATTGAATCGTTATTTTTTTTCTTTATTGCGGATTACCGTTCCTAAATCCGGCGCACATCGTGTTTGTCGACGTGTATTTGTTGTAGTAATTTGGGTTAGACGAGATACAGGTCAACGTATCTACGACTAGCATTTGGGCTTTCTGCAGGGTATATGTATTTTGTCGCTCTTCATCGTTCATCGTACCCCATCCGATGACGGTACCTACAAGATTTCTTTACTATTGCTTGACTGCCTTCAACATATAGTTTTGTATTACCTATTTTTCCAATTACACTATCATCAGCGGCTTCGCTCCACAGGCAAGCGGGGCGCACGTAATCGGTGTAATCGGCATCTCGTGATAGCCTCAAGACGGCTACGTCATTCTGCAGATAGATGCTGTTGTACTCCGGATGAACTGTTATCCTCTCCACTCTGCGTTCTTGAATGCCAACGGTGGACGTCATCAAAAATGTGCGACCTAAGTTCAATATACTCGTATGTCATTTAATTTTTTTTTTTAATTCTCATTGTCATAATCATACCTAGATGTATGAGGAATCCTTCTGCATCGACCTTCCGATTCGTTCCCGGTCTGGTTACGCACTGAGCGGAAGTAATCACGTACTTTTGATTGACCAAGTTTCCTCCGCAAATGTATCTCAACTGTAAACCATCCGACGCGTAAAGTGCAATGTGCCACGGCCAAATTCCTATTATTTGCGCCATGGTTCCGCATTGCACATCCTTGGATGAAGTGACGCCTGGTTTATTCGGTTTTCTTGTATTGACAATTGAACCTGATGAAGTTGTTGAGGGCAGTGCAGTAGAGGAAGACGAATTTTTGCCTCTCAAAATATTCCTGAGTTTTAATGCAACAATTTTATAGTAGATAACATAGACTCGATGTTTATGGACAGAATTTACCCAATATTTGATGTTTGGCTAGGTCGACTGATGGCCGAAGAAGCGGTGGCCGGTTTCTTTGTAATCTTCTGACTTATGAACGGACTCGGAGCTTCTGTCGTACGAATGGGGACACCTTCATTACACAACTTTATTTCGTTCAATTTTATTTCCGTGACGCACGGAACTTTGTCTTTTCTTGAATATATCGACACAATTTTGATGTTCAACGTTGATTTAGCTTTGAACATATAAGTTGGATTATCAATAAAAAAAAATCATGTTGTCCTCCGAACTGGCCTGACCGAACCAATTCTGAAACGATCAAACAAATCAAAAACTAATTACTAATTACCTAATTGAATATGAACAGATGTATATATTTGTATAAAATATTTCTCAAAAAAAAATAGACCACAATGGCCTAATTGAAAGTATATAGTTTAATAATTAATTCATTTATCCAATGAATTTAATCATCTAGAGCAGCGGTCGGGGAACTTTTTTAACCATTACCCCAAAATATTATTGCGTAAGTTGATAATGTAAATTGTAAATAAACATTATTTATTGAATTAATTTGCATTTACATA